TTGATATTGTGGTAACATAACTATGATTGGCCATATACAAAGAGGAGACTTCCATCTCTTCTGTTCGTCTGAAATGATATTAGCTTTTGTTGTCTTCTGATACACATTAACAACACATATATAGTGTAAGCACGAGTTGACCTCATTGTTGTTTGCAGGTTCAAGCTGTGTACAACACGATGAGGAGCGATGACAACATAAAATATTTTTTATTCAATATCCCGAATAATATTAACCGAATTATACATATTTTAATAAAATGAATTGATTTTGCCATCCATGAGAATTTCGGCATTGATCGACTATTGCAGGTAATCATCTACCTCTGGCTTATATAATAGATGTTTTGTTTAATTATTTGCTGATTAAGATGAGATTATTTTTTTTTATTATCTTTTAAAAAAGAATCTAATTTCAACGTGAACTCCATCAATTGCAGTCATAGGTTGCTTGAATTTGTAGCGTGGTAGTAGTGGAATTCATTTGGTATGTGGTTTTCATCTCATAATAACTAATTTTCTAAAAGATTCATGTTTGTCCACTTCTATTGCAGATTGTAATCATCTAATGCTCTTTTTTTTGTTTACAGATTTTTGGAATCTCACGTGGGTATGAATTACTGGATAAGTTGTTAAGCAGTTTGGAAAGCTCAATCCGGCTTCCTAGGGCTCAGTACCGATGTTTACAAATGCCAGTCCCGAAGTAGAGTGCTTAACTGATGGGTAAAAAATGATTTCATCTACTCTCAAATGATTAGTAGTTTATGTATAATGAGTTGAGTTTTCGGTTTCCTCTGATTTCGGGATTTCTATTGTTTTAGGACATTCACTTATAGTATTTGGCTAAAGTGAAGTTTGTTTTGTAAGAGGCAATTGAGTTATAGAAGAGGGTATGCACATTGGACGCACGGACTAACATCTATCTTTTCTGAAGGAAATAGCTACGGGGGCTTAGCAGCAACATATACAGATGCTTATGGTTAGGGCTATCCAAAGGGAAGATACTGACTGTGAAAAGATATTCTTACGGGAGAGCATATAAGATTCATCATTCGATTGGTAAAGTTTTGATTTGGTTTTTTTTTTACTATTAAACATTATGATGTTGAATTGTTTACATCCAGATATTATGGGTAAAGATTCGATTTATTATTTATTTCTCAGTGTTTAGGAGATAAAAACCCAATTTTGACGTCACCTCCTACACTCTTTCAACATGTTTCTATGGGACTAATATAGCATGATTTTAATATAGGAACTGCGTCGAAAGCTGCCAATTTTCCATTAATTTTGTGGGTTTCATCAAAGCAAGTAAGACCTGAAAATCTCATATTTGTCGTCATTTGCAAGGTATCCTAACGAATAGGGAAATAGTTCCATTTTTTGGTGTTATTTTTTGGTTTTTAAATGCATTGATCATTTGTGATATTTAGTCCAAGAATACTCCCGAGGACATCATTTGCACTTCAAAACCAGCACATTTTTTGCCACTGAGTTAAGAAATGGGAGTCAAAGGAATCATTGATATTCTTCATTTAGAATGGTTATATCTACAGACTACATATAGATATAAGACCCAAATGCCCCAGCCACCTTTATAAGGGAAGATGGGGTATCTGTTTATTGCCAAATGTGGATTGAGAAACTTCGGTAGAACTGTGATTAAATTTAAAGATTATTTGAGGAGGTTTGGATTGTGGGTGCTAGCTTATCTATGCTTTGTGGTTATCTGCGCAAGGATGACACGTACAAAACACAGATATATCCCAGTTCAATTTATCCAGTTTTGGTTTATTATGGTGGGTCTAAGTTTTACAATACTGTAATTTAAAAGTAATTGTTGAATCTAATTATACCTCTTTTTCCATGTGAAATTGGCTGCCATCTTTCAAAGAACTCCAATGAATGACATTGGTGATAGTGCGAGTTGATCACATGAATCTGCATGCTAAAAGAGGAATACCTTTATCATTAGTTTTTAAGTCTATATTGAACCTCCTCGTTCCATCACTTTATTTCACATTTTGCCTCTCGCTCTCTTAAAGAGAACTAGAGGCTTCCAAAATATATAATGATTGTCATTACAACTATACTCTCCATGTCCTAAATTGACTGTTAAGTTTAAATTATCATTTTTAGTATATTTTGTATTGATAGTGAAAATTTAAATTAGACTTTCATTTTAGATGAAAGGAATACTTTTTTTACTTATTTACATAACAATCTATTAAGCCGGTCCCGGCTGTGACATTAAACTATTTCTATCCACTATAAGACTACTGTAACACACCCAAACTCATAGTTCTTGAACCCGAAGATTGAAGACTGGGAAAAAGAGAAAATTTATGGAATGAAACTGACAAAATTTTTCATGAAGACTAAGAACTGAGCACATTTAATAAAACTTTCCCTAACTACTGACTACAGAGATTGTTAATACCTTGAAATTTACTAGCAAATAGCCTGCCAAACAAAAGTTGATGAAAATTTTCACCTCTGGCGCCTTCATTCAATATAATCCATATACAAATTCCTTAATATATGTCCTAACCCTAACATAATAAGCAGTTCCACTTCCACATTTAAATTATCTGAAAGTAATTCTTGCTTATCAATAGACTGCGGGCTGTTGACAACCGCTCTTTTAGTGAGAAGAAATTTCAACTTTTTCAATGAATTTTTTTTCTATCCACATTGAGACCTTCAATTCGACCGGGCATTTTGGGTGTTGAATTTGATACCTTACATTTGTTTGGTGGTTATTTTGCGAAAATAAATTTTAATTTTACCAACTAATGTTATATATTGCGAAAATAAAAATATGAGAATCAACCGATCATTCACTCCTAATGCCCGGGTCAAGTTTATATAAATATAAATTAGTAAAAATAAAATATAAATTTTAAGAGATTGCCTGGGTATAGACCCGGGCCAAACATCTTGTAATAACTTGATACAAAACTAAAAGATTTGTATTTGATTAGCTTTGTGATTTATGCATTTTTTATTTTTATTTTTTTGGAATCATCTCAAGCCACAACTGATGTAGAAGAACAATGTACTGTAAATGATTGAGATTCGCTTCTGCCTGGTGTCAGATCTGAAATTCGCATGAAATACGTTCTGATGAACATCTCATGACCTGCACTTTAGGGAAAAGCCCTGAACTTGCTTAGACTTCAGCTTCATTGCAGACGATCGAAAGACGTGGCTGATATCAACAATGCCAAATTGGAAAGTGGTGAAGACGCCCGTGTATGTCCAATAATACTGACAAAACAAAAGCTCCAATTTGACGTTCCGGTTTCATTTACAGACTTTATTTGCTATTTTGCTTGATGAAATGTTGTCCTTCCGAGCTATATTGGGAAGATGGGCCAAACTTGTTTTTTTTTATGTCAAGTTACGTATTTGCATTTCACATAACCAACAGTCAATTCTGGAATTGAATATTGCAACTCCATTTGATAAGAATATAAAACCACTAAAGGATAAACACCATTTTCTTTTCTTTTTTTTTTTTAAAAAATGGATAAACACCATTTGATAAAAGGGTAAACCACATTATGTATTTGGGGTCGAAGGTTTTTACTTTTTTTCCCCCTTTTTTCTACTTGATGTGTGAATAAAGTAGCACGATATTCATATTTATCAACATTTGAATTTTCATGGCATATTCATACACGACTACATTCAGGAGTTCTGCTAGAATATGAACTTGAGTATCTTTTTAATGTAAAACTAGATGCTTGCTCGGGCGAATGCCCAAGATGTCACTTGTATTTTTAAATCGATTAAATAAAAAATACGAATCATTCTTAAAAGAATAAAAAAATAGAAGAATAAAAAATCGATTGAAAGGACAGAAAGTGAGTTATTACACATAAATCTATACCCAGATTTATAACATTTAATCTATGCCCAAATCATAAACCAATATCTACAACAAAAGAATAAAAAAAATCACCCTTAAAAAATCAAATTTCTTTCATGACAACTTATTTTTTCTCTGTTATAGAAAAAGATGGATTGATAATTGATGTCAGATTTTAAGTAATTGATTTAAAGGCCCGGATGTGAGAGAGGAGCGGAATGAGAAGAGATTTTTTAAAATTGGGGATTGAGAAGACATTACTGGTATTTCACTTGATTTAAGAGGATTTCCTTACATTTGATTTTATCAATTAAATATTATTGTTTTAAGAGATTAGTATATACCTATAATTAAGAGATTTTTATGTAGCTATAATTAAGGGATTTATGTATTTATCTATTCCATCTTTTTTTTTCTGATTAGTTAGAGTGTCACGTGTCAAAAATGATTTTGTACTGAAAATGACTTTTGGCAGGAAAATTTTCATTGTGGTGCTGACAAATGTTCTTTTTGTTTACTGCTTTAATTAAGTACTATAGATTATATCTTAATAACAACTGTATACCTTTTATATTTAAATCTTTTAAAGAAAAGACTTAATATTATTTAAATTTCAACACAATAATATCTAAAATCCGTCGTGTAGCGCACAGTCATTGTACTAGTAAGTAACAGGAAGAGAGGTATATTACTAGTAGCGCTTGAGAATGAAAATTTACACATCATATGGCGTTATGCACTGTATATTGCCCATCATAAATTAATTGATGATTAGGAAAAAAAATTCCCCTTCATAATTTCTCTCTAATTCTTTTTTTTTTTAATATATAAAATGAAAACTCTGTAACACACTAACACAGGAACGAGAGCATTCTCCGCGCCAACTCTCTCATTTTCTGAGGCTGCATCTCAAGCACCAATTAATTAGTTACAACATTAATACATACATAGTTTTACATGGCTAATATACAATATCTAGATATCTTAATTTGCTAATAATATCTGTTAATTAGTTGTCCTGAAAATAGTAATGAAAGGAACACCATACTTTACGCATCTCAGAAAAAGAGAATTCGTCAACTATATAAACACATTTTGTTCATAACCATTAAGAACTCAAAGCAGGGAAAAAAAAAAAAACGTAAAATATTGATGCATAGAATCGAGGCAAGATTGATTCTTTCCGGCTGGTCTAAACTGCTCTGATCACAGAGCAAAAGTTAGGGTTTCGAACCCTAAAGACCATTGCCTTCATACACACACAACCAAAAAAAAAAAAAAACGGAAAAAAAAATCAGTTCAATTTAATCAATCCCTGCCTAGGATTCGTGCTCATTAAAATTAAAAAAAAAAAAAATGGGGTCACCAAAGCTCATTAGTTTTCCTTTGGTATCCTTGTTCTTCATTTTGGCTACCATTATCCCTGCAATGGAAGCCAATGCTGACGAGTGGGACGAACTCAGGTGGGTCGATCTTGTAAAATATTTATATGTCACGTTTTTTTTTTATGATTTTGTTTTTTTTTTTGGGTGTAACAATTGTAAAAACCTGAAGTCTAAAATATTAACTTAGAAAATATTTCAAGGGTGAAAGAAAGTTGCATAAATTCCAATGCCATCTAACAAGTACTAATGAATCTGATCTCGTGTTTTTTGTTTTTTTCCTGGCAATTTTAGCTAATGGTCATTTTCTTTATTTTCTTTGAGAACAGTTCTAATATTAACTTTTACATTTCTGAAGTTAAATAATGCATTCAAACCCAAATAAAAGGACATATTCTCGTTGTTGAATTATTCCGAAGTCTATTCCCATTTTATTTCTGGTTCGAAATTTTTGAAACACCTATGATCACTATCTCAACATCTATAGAGCATTTTAGACGAAATACAACTGCATTCTATAAAGTAGGATCAAACCTTTTCTTTTCCCTTTTTATAAAGAAAATAAAATCTCAATTTCGACAATCAATGATCATTAGTTAGAAGAAGAGGCTTCAGATGGTTGGAAGATTGTTATTATCACTTGCCCTGTATATTTATTTTTCTTTCTATTATAAAGATACATGTATGTCAAAATAAATCATTGGTTCTTGTTGATGACGGCACAGTTTAAACTCGACCAGAAGGGAGTTATATGGGAAAAAGAACAGACGGGGTGGGCCATGCATGGCAACAAACGTAATCGACCAATGCTGGAGATGTGACCCAAACTGGGCTAAAAAAAGACAGAATATGGCCGATTGTGTCAAAGGTTTCGGGAGCAAGGCCAGAGGTGGAAAAGGTGGCAAGTACTATCTTGTCACTGATCCATCCGATGACTGGCAGAACCCGAAACCCGGGACCCTCCGCCACGCCGTCATCCAGAAAGAACCCTTGTGGATCACATTCGCCGGGAAGATGAACATCAAGCTCGGCCAAGAGCTGATCATGCAGAGCGACAAGACCATCGACGGCCGCGGCGCCAGCGTGCACATCTCCGGTGGGGCCGGGATCACTATCCAGTTCGTCAAGAATATCATCATAACCAACATCCACATCCACAATATCGTCCCCACTTCCGGTGGGATGATCCGCGACGCAGTCGATCACGTCGGGTTGCGCACACATAACGAAGGCGATGGGATCAGCATCTTCGGATCGACCGACATCTGGATCGATCATGTCTCTATGTCTAGATGTTCTGATGGCCTGATTGATGCTGTCCAAGGTTCCTCCGGGATCACCATTTCCAACTGCCACTTCACAGATCACGACAAGGTACATTTTATTTTTTTCAGAAACACGACTGTTATTATGAGAGAAAAACACAGTAATATAACTAACGTAACATATATTAATTTTGCAGGTATTGCTATTCGGTGCAAGTGACAGTACCGAAGTGGACAGAGACATGAAGGTGACGGTTGCATTCAATCATTTTGGTAAGAGATTGATAGAGAGAATGCCGAGATGCCGATCTGGATTCTTCCACTTGGTTAACAATGATTACACTCACTGGGAAATGTATGCTATTGGTGGAAGCCATGCACCTACCATTATTAGCCAAGGAAACAGATACATTGCCCCTGTCACTGAGAAATTTGAGTCTTTAAGAGAGGTACGTACCCAAAAAAAATAATTCGGCCATATTTTACTTCCTAAAATAAGAATCGTGTTTAATTATCTGTACGTACAGGTTACACATCGGGATAATGCACCGGAATCGGAGTGGAGTAAGTGGACATGGGTTACGGACGGAGACTTGTTCCAAAACGGAGCTAAATTCGTGCCATCTGGAAACCCTAACGGAGCGAAATTGTATGCGGCCCTGGAATTGATCAGACCAGCTCCGGCTTCACAAGTTGCTGTCTTGACTAAAGACGCTGGTTTTCTCAGATGCGCGGTTGGAAACCCTTGCTAGACAATTATTGAGTTTGGAATTTGAAAGAAGCAAGCCGGGATTATCTATCACACTCCAAATCTCTAATTTTATATCTTTGTGATTTGTGGGCTACTACTACTGTATGGTGATTTCGGCATCGGATTGGATGTGATAACGATGGATTTGATAGAGAAGCATTATTAACTTTGTAATCTCTGATTTCTTTTTAAAATAATAATAATAAAAAAAAAGTTAAAACGTGTAATAATGAAAATGAAACACATTGTTCATGAGCTTATTCATATGTGCAGAGCTAATTTTATAAGGCCACATGATATCTTGCGATCAACTCATGGGTATCTTACGTTCAAAAAGGATTAACCATTAATTTTTTCATGGAACTAACAGAAAAGCAAATAAAAACACGTAACATTAGAAAGTCATAGTTTAGATTGAATATAGTAACCAACTTTTTGGTATTTATGAAATAATTTATTAAATTGTTTTGTAAACCTCCTTTATTCTATCTGGTAGTCATTATTAGCTCTCAAGAAAATTTTTTTCTTTTTTCTTTTGCGTACCAAATTCATATTTCCTTGTCAACATTATTGGCCATTGATTTTTTTTTTTTCAAAGAAGAAAGATATTTATTTAATTTTTTGTAAATTGAAAAATTGAAAAGAGCGATTTATTTTAATAGTTGGATAGATTGGGAGTGAATGAGATATGAGAATATTAAGCAGTTCTTTATTTATTTATTTTTTTTGAAATAGGAAAAATAATTTGTTGAAAATAAAAAACATTAAGAAGATCTGGAAAAAAAAAAACCTCAAATCTGTGGAGGAATTGGAAAATTTCAATTTTCTTTCATGAACAGTCACTTTTTTTAAAAAACTTATTTTCTAAAATGTATAATGATACTTCTAATATTTTAAAATTTGAGGCCTTCCCAAAATGAGGGCCTAAAACACCTACATTGGCTTTAGGGATAACTAGTTGATTAATAAGACTAATATTTTTCACTCCTATACTTCTGTATTAAGCAAACTATGGCTACTGTTTTCACTTCGAAAGTCGGCAAGTACTACTGTATTAAGCAAACCAGATTATTTGGAAAATAGGTGGTTGAGTATTACATCCTCGAACGAATTCATGAGTCACAAATTAAACTTGCTATATACGAACTGAACAAAAGAGGGCTGGAAAAGATAACGTTCGCAAAGGATGGCAAATCAAATAAGGGGTCGAGCCAACTACGATCTAATCCGATTGACGACCATGAAAAAATTCAACCATACCAAAATATACAAGATTTGCCTTTAATTAGACTAAATCCATACTCAAAATAAGTAGCGTATCCGTTTGAATCCTCTCTTCCAATCTAAAAGTTCAGGCCCTAACTAAACAGAGGGGAATCATGTCAACCCAGATCAGCCAGGTTCTATGCACTGTCAGAATCATTGACTGGAACTACGTTGGAAACTTGTGGGTTTTTATAGCCACTGATCTCATCAGTATAACGTTTCTTGTCCGCCCGAGCCTTTGCTTCATATGGTGCTTTTTCCTCAGCTGTAACATAAATAAAAAGGATGCGAGTTAACAAATATAAACGCATTATGACATTGATATCCAATGGACTACTGCCTGATTTTATCAATACCTGACATCTTATTCCATTTCTCACCAAGAACCTTCCCCACTTCCGTGAATATAATTCCAGGATTACTTTTCTTCACATTCTACAATAAGAATAAAGGATCAGTGAGACAAATGCGTAGCCAACGCAAGCAAGACATGCAAGGTCTTTAAAAATAAACATTGACGCGAAACAATGAGAAGCATAGCACATGGAAATAACAACAATTATCGATTTCCTACGCACCACGCAGAAAACAAAAAAAAGTTGAATCCGAAGATAAGTTTGATGCATGAAAACCATCACATGATCAAATACATTCAAACCAATCAAGCTAGAAGAAAAATGACAAGTAAACTGCTCGACATACTGACCTCTCTTTCACTCTGTGAAAAGTACATGAAAGAAGTCAGTGCTCTTTTTGGAGCATTAGGATCCTTTTTCTTCTTAGGTTTCTTCCTCTTGGTATCATCATCATCTTTGGCTTTTTTCCTACTCACAAATGGCTTTGAAGAAGAGGGTTGCTCCTTCTTGACTTTCTTTTTTGCAGGAACCTAAAGACAAGATCAAAAAGATGTGAGCTTCGTAAAAAAGTGACCATTTCTTCTTAAATTTCACAAACCAATTAAAAATGTTTAAGACAATGGGGGAAAAAGCCACCTCCTCATCTCCACTATCATTATCGTCAGATTCTCCTTCACCAGAATCATCAGTGGGGGAGCCCTCATCATCTTTGTCAGCAACAAAATCTTCATCCTGCAAGAAATGCATGGAAAGCCATTAGACACATGCTCGTATAATTCTCAAACCCCTGAAACCACTTAGCAAGTGAAAAGCTGCCACCTCTTGAGCATTTTTTTTTTTTTTCAAACCCGCTCCACATAAATGTGGGAAAAATCCCCAAACAAATCCACCTCTTGAGACTCCTACATGTCAAATGAATTATAGGAGCAGCGAAACAACAACAATGACCAACAAACCTAAACACTAGTGTCACAGAGTAACAAGCTAAAAAGGCGTGATCTTGAAGGATTGACTTATAATTTGTCAAAGGAGCCACATAATTAAAATGGAAAAGTTGAAGGCCTGTTGAGAGGGTATCAACATAAGACAATTCACAAAGGCTCACCTCCTCATCGCTCTCATCTCCACCAGTTTCATTCTTAATACGCTCAAGATGTGGATCAACGACATCATCATTGGACTTCCGCATCACAGCTGCAACACCATCTGTACTTTGATCCTCTCCAAGGTTCATGATCTTCAGTCCCTTTCCACTAACAGAATCAAACCAACACTGTCAGAAAAATACTCTTGCCAGCCTCTAAAAATAACTGAATACGCAATTGGTTCGTACAAACCTGATAAATTTAAAGAGATTATGGTATTCACTTCTCTGAATATTCCCGAAAAGATGCTCTTGCTCAGTCTTAAGTTTGATAAGAAGATCAAAGTACTGCATGTTTGAACCACCGGCAGCATGCCTCTGAAACTCCAAATAATCGATCTGCAGATATAACGAAGCAGGTCATTGCCTTGGCAACAAAAACTTGCACATTCTGAACAAACTAAATCCAAACTGCAGAACAAACAAATACATTTCACTACCTCTTCGTGAAGAATAAGGGTAGGTGGCTTGGGCAAAAAGAAAAAGCTCTTTTCAAGGGGATACAGAACTCCATCTTCAGCTTTCAGTGATGACTTTACAGCATAACCGCCCAGACAACTACGGAATTTCCCAGGTCTGGTAACTCTGGCACCAGACAAACCACGTACAATCATTGTAAAGACCTCATGAACTAGCCCCTGATGTTTACAGAAAATCATGAAAAATAACCAAGTTTAGAATTTACATAAGAGTCAAAAAAGTTTTATTAAATAAGGTGGACAGGAGAAAAACACACAAGAAGAAACTTGTAGCCAGAGTTTTATTACCTTATATGTTGGTTCTAATCTGTCCTTATACTTTGTTGTGAGAAGATCCTCACTCATAGAAAGGGGTTTATCAACAACAACATCTGTATCAAACTGCAAAAAGGAGTAGAGATCATAAAGCAAACCTTCTTATCAAACAAATAGACAGAAGAAAGACACGAAGGAATTCAGCAGCCATAATACCTGCATAACAATGTGAGGATACAAGGTTTGCCCCTTGCGGATGGGGGGATCAAGTGTGACAACCACAAAGGTAAACAGCTGATTGGACTGCAGAACAACATCAGAGGCACATTTATCGAACGGGCGTCAGTAACAAACATCTTCTTTCAGAAAAATGGTGAGAAAAAGTGGCAGTGTAGTAAAATGAGAAAGGGAAAAAATAAATATTCAAGCTGACATCAACTTATAATGGAAGTTTATATGAGAAAGCAAATGAGTGCATGTAAAGTGATTACGATAGAAGCCAAACCTTTGGCAATGAAAACAGGCGAACAACGCTGCTGTATTGAATTTTAAAATCATTTGCTTGACCTTGGAGGCGCAAAAACGAAGTATGAAGCTCAACATTGTACCGACCCCTGAAAATAGGATGACGAGAATTAGTCAAGGCTAAACAACCAACAGAAAGAAAAGGAACAGAGGGCAGAAGGAGGGAGGAACTAAAGTACCTTGGGGTAAGAATTGTAATCCCCTCGAATGTGACAACAGAAGCTTCACCTCCTGGCACCCCATCTGTGTTTTTCATGATTTCGTCACAGAAAACCTGAAGGAAGTTTCAAGGGTTATTAGAAGTAGAACCCCAATATTGGTTCAGTACTCGAGAAAAGAAAAACCCCACGATATATTACTTGAGCAGGTGGGCGGTTCTCATCACCAACAAATTGGGTGTTTGAATTAGGAATGTGGAAGCTGATCTCCATCAACGAATCTTTCTACAGAATGTTGACAAAAGGTCAATGCAGTCTTAGAATTATATCAACTGCACCACATAAGCACAGATATCTTAAATGGAACTTGCAGTTCTACCTCATTGGCGCCCGTAGTATCATCCACGTGAAACTCCAACATGACGTCATTTTTCCCTTGAAGCTGAGTCTGAGCAACATCTGCTAAAGATACTTCAAAAGCTTGCTTAGAAGCCACCAGAAATGTGAGCGTGTTACCTGGAAGAAAGCAACCAAAGAAAACTAAGGACAATAACTTAACTATCAGGAGCAACTCAAAACAAAGAACAGCAAAAATCATATTCAACACACTGAATCCATGGAAAACCACTTAGTTTGAAATAGCAGACAGCCAAAAGGAACATATATTCCATCTAGGGGGAAATCGATGAGAAGGAAAGAGATTCATAGGAGAGAACAAAAATCAAACTAATCTTTTTATGCCTTGACGGAAGTTCCAGAACTTCAACGCGAAAAACTAAAAGAAAAGTTGCACACCAGGATTCTGTGATTAGCCTACTCTTGAGGAGGAAACCAAAATTATAATACAGAAAAAAAAGAGTAAAAAACATGAAGGACTAGCATACATACCATCGAGGTCGACTTCACCCCAATTCTTCCCACTAACAGAGAGCTGTTTCTCCACTGGTTGTATTCCATAAGTGGTCTGGAAAACCGTAATCAGACTAGCAATATCCTGAAAAGTAAATGTACAAACTTAGAAGACAAAAACAAGATTTAATAAAAGAATCACGTTGCACAGTTTCTTCCATTAGTATCAGGAACTGTTTCACAAGTCAAAAACGAATGATTATGCACATTGCAAATCTAAAAAAGAAGGAGGTTCAAGATGAAGAAAGATTAATCTGGATCGATATACGCACATTAACACCAAAAATTGACTGTTCACTGAAAAGACCCTAATAGAACAGTACTCTGAACCCATTATCTTGTTGAGTTTTACAAAAACAGCACATTGCTACCAAACTCAGTTCAATTCTCTTAACTCTTATATCTTTCTTCATGATTTATCACTATAGGGAAAGGTGGATAAGGAGCTATGATTAGGCCCTTTATCCTTTAAAGTAATTAATTAACATGTAAAATCAACTGAGAAAAACTGTACTTGTATCCTCTCTTCCTCACCTTCTCCCCGAATGTCTCATAAAAATGGTTTTGCAGACATGAGAGCAGAACAAAGGACTCGGGGATGATGAAAATGGGTTCATTAAACAGAATAAATGTGCAGCATGTAAGGAAGGGGATAAGAAGCAAACACGCTATACCTGGTCACGGAAACCAGTAAATTTATATAAGAGTCCATCTTTGGTGCGAACTCCAAGTTGATTACCCCGAGGGACTTTCGTCCAGGCGAGGCCCAAGACATCAGATTTGTCCACCTCAACAGACTTACCCCCTCCTTGTTTCTTCCACAAAACACCACCACTGTAAACCCTCAACTGTCCTGGATTCTGCAATTTTCAACTCCAACAGAGAAAATAGATGAGGAAAGAACCTAATTTGACAGCCAACCATCAAAGCAAATTTGGGCGAAAAAAGGCAGAAGCAATCTATTCAATTCAATCAAATTAACAATCCCTGGCCACAATCGAACCTCCGTGAAAGGTACGATAAGATGAGGTGCGAAAAACATGCCAAACCCTAAAAACCCTAGCATTTTCACCAAATAAACCTGTGGCTCAAGTCGGAAATCAACGGTTCATATAGAAACTGAATCCCAATGAAAACGCCGAAAGGAATTAACAAAAAAATCACCAAAATTGGAACCATGTATCTAAAGGCAAACAAAAATTCTCAGGGACATAAGCTAGGGTTCCTAGGCGGCGAACATAGTTAAACGACGATCGGAAATTTCTCACACAAAAACAAGATTACGGGGTTTGTGCAACCAGAAAAGAAATCAAACACACGAAAAAAAAAAGGTGAAAAAGAAAAAACAAATCAAGATTTAAGGTTGAAGAAACTCACAGTGCCACCACGGCCTACAAGAGAGATGTTATTAAACAAGTGACCGTCAGACATTGCTCTGTGTTTATGGAAGAAAATTTTTGAAACTGACAGAAAAGAGAGGAGGTGACTGGGGTTTATATAGTGTGTAGGCTATGCCGTGGCGCCAAAAGAGGAGAGGTTCTGTTACTGTTCTTTGGGCTGGGCTTCTTCAGGCTTTCTAAACAGTAATAGCCCAAGAACAACGAACCCAGTATTTAACTGCCACGATATAAATTTTACCACGTGGAGCTATGTCATTGGTTAGTGTTGGTGGTTAGGTGCTGATTAGATGGGCTTCTTAATCCCAATTCGATGGGCCTTTTCAATCTTGTACTTGTGATGGTCGTCCCATTTGAGAATGCAGTATGAAAATTAGTCGAGACAGTGATTAAGATGAAAGACAAGCTCCACATATTACTTGTTAATGGATTTTGGTTTTCGTCAACCTTCTTGTTAGAATTGCTTAAGTAAACATTTTTTATAAAAAGGGAATATTTTGTTATTTTTACATTAAGTATTTAACATGCTAGAATAACAAAAAAAATTGTGAAAATGATAGATTACAATATTTTTGGATTTCGTTGAAATTTTTCATCAGTTTCATTAAGTCAACGAAAAAGTCTACGTAAATAATTCCTTTTAAAAAAAAAAAAAAAACTTTTGCGAGTCTTCTCTTACACCAATATCTTAAGTAATTAAAAATTATAATACCATAAAAAAATGAAAATCACGAGGGAAAATGGATTTTCGCTTTGTCTGATTTTTTTTTTTTTTTTTTATGAACCGTTTCGTCTTGTTGGGGATTTTTTTTTTTTTTTTGATGTACCGTTTCGTCATGTTGAGGATTTATCTGGAGGAGAAAACCCGACATGAAAACCAATAAGTAAGATAAGACCTATCTGAACTCAAAAGCTCAAGCTAATGAGTTCTGAGGCCACCTTATCATCACATGTCCTCATGCCTCCGATGTAGGATTCATAATCCATGCTACATGACTCTCAATATTCTCTCCCGTCATGAGCAATCTCCACATCGCGCTTCCAAATTATCTTGACAAGTCCAAATTTGTACTCCACCTGAGTAACTGGGCCGCCCATCCCTACGTTTCCTCTCGTAGTGGGCCTTTGACTGCCTGGGTTTAGTCAGATCAAACGAGATAATTTTGGGTACCCACCCACTTGGTCCAACCTGGCTCTGATACCACAGTTGGGGATTTATCTGGAGGAGAAAACCCGACACGGAGCCCAATAAGTAAGATAAGAACTATCTGAACTCAAAAACTCAAGCTAATGGGTTCTGAGACCACCTTACTTATTAACTGATTCACATGTCCTCATGCCTCCGATGAGAGATTCATAATCCATGCCACATGACTCTCAACACGTCATAGCTGTTAAGTAGCCAAACAAACTGACACAAATAATTTCTGGAAAAAAAGTGAAAATTCTGTGACTACCATACATTAACTACTTACCATGCAATAAAAAAATACAAAAACTAGAAAGTATTTTAGATTTAGTCGACTTTATTAACGACAACGTGAACGATGCTAATTTCTCTTAAACAACAAGTAGTTTCTTGAGTTTTATGTCGATACTGAAACTTTAGATGATTACTTTGCGCAGCGTCATAATTCTGCCCTGTATAAATCGTACATGTCAAAGTATTATAAATCAAAAGGTGAGTTTCAGTTTTCGCCACAACTAGCATCTCAATATGACCTAGTGAATTCATATTTTAAGTTGTCTCAGTGTAGAAAGTCAAACCAAAATATGTTCTTCAAATTACATGCTTTAACCTAAGAATGAGCATAACTAATTCAAAATTAAACAAGATCTATCCTTTGACACAATATTTCCACTCTAAGGGGAAAAAAAAAAAGAAACAAAACTAATTTGAAATAAAAAAAAAAAAAACCAATAAGAGATTATATTCACATCAAAATAAAAAAGTAGACATCTCCTTTTATCCGATCTTATGTATGATATACAAAATTGATAACTATGATTCAATATTGAAGTTAATATTGTATCCCAAAAAAAGATTTCTTGAAATTATAGATAAATGTCTCCTTTATTCGATTTTATATATGATATACAAAATTGACGTTCTTATTGGATTGTCAAGAAATAAAAAAGATTTGAATTAGTTGCTGAAAGTTACAATGATTTTATGATACATTGTATTCGTATATGTCCTATCTCCATTGAGAGATTAAACAGACATTTAAAAAAAAAAAAAACAATCTCTTCAAACTGACAATAGTAACTTGATGAAAAACAGAATCGGCCTAAAAACTCTAAACCGGTTTTAAAAATCTTGAATGGTGAAACCCTAAACTGGTAAAATATATGTTTGAACCGGTTTTAAAAATCCTTAACCGGTGAATATCCTGAAATGGTCTTGACAACTCTAAACTGGTAAAAACCCTGAAATGGTCTAGCCTATACTGTTCCTGATTAATAAAAATATGTCTCCACATATTAGAAAGACATTTAGGGTATGTTTGGAAAACAAACATAGCCTAAAATAGTTGAACGGCCGATACATTATTTTTTGTACATAGATTTGGGTAAAATTTTTAATTCCAAAAATATTAATAATGGATTTTAATAGAAAGATCTCGTCGCGTAAATTAATATGATATATATCATTTTTTCTAATTATTTATATATTGAAAGATATGACTGTTTGAAAAAAATTAGAAAAGAGTAAAAAAGAAAACATAAAAATTAAATTGAGGAGCTCAACTTCATTGAAATTCACTCTCCCTGAAGTGCGTGTATTACACGCACCCACTAAGAAACAAATTTTGATGTGACAACACACATAAAATGACGAAAAAAATCTTGTTGTATTATAAGTATTTACAGTCAAAATCGGATCAAACATTTATGAGATACTGTTACAGTTAAGGGTATTTACAGTCATTTATATCAGACTGACTAAAAAATCCACATAACTTCCCGTTATTTACCTCTCTGACCAATCTATTCTCACTGTATCTATTGCTACAGTTAAAAGCATTTACGGTCATTTTCACCCATAACACACACTAATTCACCTTTTTCGTCACACACAATTGAGCGTTTATATTATAGGTTGATAAATTATAGAGCAATGATAGGGACAATGATAATTTTCAATGAAATAAGATAATTATTCATGAAAAGACAAAAACACCACCCCACTAAATTCATAACTATCAGGGGATGGTTAAGTAAATATACACGTGCCACATCATACATTATTCCATTTTACTATTCATTTTCACCGTATATATTATTTTTTAAAATTATAATACTGTCAGAAATATATTGAAAATATTAAGAATAATGGATTTTGGTCATAGACTTATAGTTGACTTATGTCGTGAATGTCTCGTAAGAGCTATTGAGTAAACGGACAAGTCAACATGAACAATTTCTATAAAAAGTGAGTATTTTTTTTTCACTTTTAGATTGATTCCCATTCATAAGTTACTTACAAACAATAAAAATTTTAGAAAATATTAATAACAACAAAATATAAATGGATATATTCGGAATCCATAGACTTGCTCGTTGGTTTTGTAAAGTCGAAGAAAAAGTCAGTGCACGTAAAATCTCTTTAAAATAAGTTTTTTTTAGTCTTATATTATTTCTTATACTTTAGTTAATTACATATTAGAATAATAATATAAAAAAAATTGTGAAAATTGAAAAAAAAAAAACAGATTTTAGCTTTCCCGTTCACTTTTTTTTTTTGGGTGAAGCCTAACAAGTTAATGCTAATAATAATAGACAGTAACAAGACCATACCCCTACTTATAATTAGAAGTTTGCCCAAATAGCTAATTATGACACCAGAAAAGAGAAAAAACATAAATACCGCACGCACATGCATTACACACGCGGCCCCTCAAAATTTTCTCTCTCTTGTCGTCTCTCCCTCACACTCTCTCGGCTCCGCTTCTCTTTTTCTTTTATTTTCTTTCACTTTTCTCCTATTTTTTTCAAATGATCATATCATTCAATATATAAATAATTAAAAAAACATACCATATATCAAATTAATCTACGCAACGAGATCTTGCTATTAAGATCCATTATTAATATTTTTGAAGTTAAAAATTTTATTAGAATTCATGTATGAAAACAATGTATATGTTGTTTAATTGTTATGTATATGAAAAAATAAATTGTCATTTCCTTTCTTTTTGTTTAATCCTTAACAATTTAAAATATTCGGCATTCAAATTCAAATTTGTAGTTTTATTTTAATTGATGTCAAATTTTAAATAATTTAATTAACGACTCATAAATTTGATAAAATCATTTTAAATCAAATTTAAATTTATCATTAGAATCAAAACAAAAGTCATATTCATAATAGTGTACCTTCATAAACCTATTCGTATGTCTTCATATACATTTTCGTATACATTCATATACATTCTTCCTTGCTTTCATATATCGGATATCTTCATATACATTTTCATATGTCTTTATATACATATCTACATATCTTTATATGTATTATCATATGTTTTCATATACATTCTTGTATACCTTCGTATACATTTTTACATGTCTCCATATATAAAGTGATGTGCCTTTATTAAGATATTTTAAACCCCAATCCCTAAACACTAGACCCTAACCTAATTAAAATACTTAAACACTAGACCCTAACCTAATTGAAATGGTTAAATCCAAGATCCTCTCCTAATTGAAATACTTAAACCCTAAACACTAGACCCTAACCTAATTGAAATGATTAAACCCTAAAATCTAAACACATTATATTTTTTATTCGGTTTAAATTTTTGTAATTCAATTAGCAATTTTTGTAATTCAATCGTGTTAGGTCACACACTAGAAATTTTTATAATTCAATTACAATTTTTGTAATTCAATTAGCCTAATTGAATTACAAAAATTTATAAATTAATCGTGTTAGGTCACGCACTAGACCCTAACCTAATTGAAATGCTTAAACCCTAAACCCTAAACCCTAAACACTAGACTCTAACCTGATGGAAACTCTAAATC